CTCCTAAACTCTACAGGGCTCTTCAGTAAAGAGGCTGTTAGCTTTGTGTGGAGGTGGAAGGTAGATAACATCTGGGTGAGTTTGGTGGAATGAAGAGAAGCTGTAGTGGAAGATTTAAATGTTTGTGATATATTAGTTTACCATGAATTAAAAACTAATCCTGATGGAGAATTGCATTAGCTGATACAGCCTTTTATGTACATGTAATTTATTTTAGTAAAAATTGTGCTTTTATGTTTATTGGGATTTGGTTTGTTTTAAAATTAAAAGCATTTGGGCAATTTGAACCTAGAACATAGAATAATGTTAAGTTTTATCCTACAGGAAATTCTTTTCATTGTTGATTTAGGCATTATACTTTTATAGTCTGCAGTACTTTTTCACAATTAATCTTTCATCTTATTCTAACCCGTTTTTGGTGGATCAGTGTTATAATCTTGGCAAGGAACTGACAAGTCTCTTCTTCCCTTCTCTCAAATGTTATATTTAACCATAGAGAAGCAGGGTTTAAACCAATGATTTCTTCACCTCCCACCCACCTCCATTTTTATCTAGTAAATACAAAATTAGAGAAGTCAAGAGTTCTTTCCTTCAATACTCGGTTGCTGGTTTTCCTGAGAGGTTATATACAAGTCACTTCAACTTTTTACAGCATAAGTTAGCTAAACAGAGAAGGTTAAACCTTAATTCTTAAATGATTCTGATTGAAAAGTCTGTACAGTATGAATTTTGACTTCTTTAATAAAGAATATCAAGTATAGTGTAACTAATGCAACACTTGATGACAGACACTTCTGATCTTCTTTTGTAGTAATAGAAAAACAGTCACGCAACAGGCACTTGAAGCGAGGGAACAGAATGAGCAAGGGCACAGCGGTGTGGCCTATTTAGGGGTTCAGGGAATAATCTTCTGTGGCTAGGATTTGTGATGAGAAGTGTTTGAAAGGTAGGTTGAACCCAGTTAAAAAAGGCCTTATATTCCCCCAAACTGAGGAAGTTATTGGGACTGTTTAAGGTTGGGGTAGGGTGGGTTTGCTTATTCTTGTTACTGCTATTTTGCTTTGTAAAGCCTGGGATGGCTCGTGTGGCAAAATGATTACCATGGAAATTCCACCCTGTGACCATGTGAAGATCACTTGACTAGAGGAAGCGGTGGTTTGTTTCTGCAGCGTTATTTGTTTTTTGTTTTTTTTAAGTATTTTATTTATTTATTTATGCAAGCTCTGGGTACAGTCAGAAGCGCGGAAGGGTGAGAGAATTCACCAGAGCCAGAACAGGGAGCAGAGCAGGCAGAAGGACCGAAGTACACTACTGAGGGGAGCAGCGGGCGGCAGGAGAGGTCTGCGCGCCATGTGGGACCCTCCTCCGGTGGTGGCCAGGGAGCAGCTGGGGATCGAACCTGCGCTGCAGAGGCCGCGGGCAGCTTCACAACCCAGCGCTCAACCGCTGCGCCACCGATGAGGCCCTTCCACTTGCATGTGGTTGGTACCTCTGTGGCACAGGATGGTAGCAGGATTCTTCTAAAGGGGCAAAATTTGCAGAACTCCAGTATTAGTAATAACTTCTGGGACTCAGCAGACTTTTTCTCAAAGGGCCAGATAATATTTTAGGTTTACAAGTATTATGATCTCTGTGACAGCTACTCAGCGCTCCCACTATAACTCTGAAGCAGCCATAGGCAGTATTTAAATAAATATGCAGGCTGTGTTCCAGTAAAACATTTACAGAAACAAGTGACAGTGGAGGCCAGTTTGCCAAGCCCTACAGGGCTTCCTCCTGAGAAGAGGGTCAGGACTCAACGACCATCTGCTCACATCGGGCAAGCGGAAAGGATCCTGTGAGCGCGCGTTAGGGAAGCAGGAATATAGGGAGGAACTGCTTCGGTGGTGGTGGGCGGAGGGTGGTGACCGAACGAAGGATGGAAGACAACTTTATTTTACAAGAGACATGGAAATTTGGACCTTGACTCTATATTCAGGACTTACTAATTTTTTTAGATTGTGATAATGACCTTATAGTTTTACGCTTTAAAAGACCCTCACCTTTTAGAAGTCCATGTTGAATACTTAGGGATGAAATATATGCTATCTGGTATTCAGAAAATCCACTGGAGTTGCAGGGAAGGGAAATGAAACAAAACAGGGCTTGACTGCTTTTGAATATGTTTTAAAACTTCCATAATAAAAAGTTACTTTTAAAATAGGTTTGGAGGGCCTCCCTGGTGGCGCAGCGGTTGAGCGCTGGGTTGCGAAGCTGCCGCTGGCCTCTGCGGCGCCGGTTCGATCCCCGGCTGCTCCCTGGCCACCGGAGGAGGGTCCCACATGGCGCACAGACCTCTCCTGCCGCCCGCTGCTCCCCTCAGCAGTGTGCTTCGGTCCTTCTGCCTGCTCTGCTCCCCGCTCTGGCTCTGGTGAATTCTCTCACCCTCCCGCGCTTCTGACTGTACCCAGTGCATGTATAAACAAACAAACAAATAAATAAATAATGCATGCCTCTTAAAAATAATTAAAAAAAAATGTTTAAATAAAATAGGTTTGGATTTGGGAATTAGAGGGTTAACCACCGTGAGCTCCAGAGAACAGTTGGAAAAGGATAGATTGCAGATGGTAGGAGAGAGGCAAGAGTGTTTGCTTCCCTAGAAGAGGAGAAAGGGGGAGAGCAGTTCAGAGAAGCTGGTGTCCAGGGAAAGACGCAAGTGCGCTTCCCAGAGGACTGAGCAGAAGGGCTTCCGAGCACACTCATCTGCTGACGCGCTTGGTCTGCACTCTCGCGCTTTCTCTCCGCTAACGACAACTGAGGGGGAGGCAAAAGGAAAGCTTAAATCAGAAAGATCACAATGTTAGAAGTTCCAGGTTTAGTGAGATATCTGCAATTAGGATAGGTTGGGAGAAATAAAGCATATGGTACTGCGCTTCAGTAAGATGGTTTTATGTGGCCTGTGAAAAACCTTGTTTGAAGTGTGCCTGCGTGCGCTCAGTGGAGATTATTAGTTCATTCTTGCTCTAGTTTTTGTTCTCAACTTGGGTGACAGCTGAGAGCGGTGGTAGAATGGGTGCCCGTGCAGCAACAGGTGCATCTTGTCTCGTCTGAATTAAGCCAATAATGTGTCATGTCATTGGTGTTTTAGCCTTTTGTTTCAAGGTTCTGCACGCCAGAACTAGGTTGGAAACAATCTGTAATTAGCTGACAGATAAGGAGCACTTTGAGAATACCACTTTCATCTTAAAATCAAATGATTTTACTCTTAAATTGAGCTAAATCATCTGTAATTTACCTGGCATGTGTTTGATTGGTGTGCACATTCACTCACTCTTTTTGTCAGAGTTGAATCAGTGTGAGGTTTCAGAAGGCACAAACATTCTACCAAGAATGCCCAGTGTTAGAAGGTGGTATTTTTAAGGTGTGTTCATTTCAAGTCGGCGTTGCCAGTCTCCTTCCTTTTTCTCTTTAAAGTGTTTGTCGCCAGTGTCAAAGGTTCAGATGACTTGTTAGGTGTTTTTTTATTTTTAAATTCCCTGGCTATGCTTTTAATTTTTCAACTATATTCTAAAATTCAGTGTTAAGTAGAAATATCTGTTAACTTTCCTAAGCAAAACTTCAGTAAATTATTTTACTATTATGGTTTCTCTTCTTCAATGTAAGTGTCCTTGAAAATTGATAGATTTTGTATTATGTTAAAATTCTTACCTTTTTGATCAGGAATAAACATTATTTTGAGTTGAGATTAAAGGATTTATCTGAAACTATATTATTTGACATGGACTTTACCATCACTCTCTGGTAAAGGGACAGCAAAGTCCTTGTGGAAGTAACACAGTGGTCCGTGGCCTTTTGCTTTTGCTCCTGTTGTGCCCTGAGCTGTGCGCTCTCTGGGGGGCTTTTTGTTAGGTGGGAGCGCTGCCACATCAACACCTGTTCAGCATCATCTAGTGAAGGGTGGAAAAAGGTGTCCGTCTTAAAAGTCTATCTAATGTCTGGTACAGCCCCAGAATGCTGGTAACCCTTTGAGGTGTCACCTGTGCTGATACACCTAGAGACAGGCTTGATTGATGCTTGAACCTCAGTGTTGTTTGCATTCTGCCTGCATCACAGAATGTCTAGTTAGCAGAATTTGAAAAGAGTGTCTTAAAAGCTGAAATACTAGGTTTTTAAGAAGCTGTAGTCTGATTTTATATCACCGTTAGCTTCCAATTCAAACATTGAGACCAAGATCCATGGGGTATTTTCTAAAAATGAAATTTGGTCAGCATTTAGGGCATTATTATTGCTTTATAGAGTGTTCTGTTGGATCTATTGCTGTCTGATACATTACCCTAAGACATAAGTTTAAAACAGCAAAGGTTTATTACTGTGCTCAGGGATCCAGTACACTTAGCTGGTGCCTCTGTCTCAAGGTCTCTCACAAGGCGCAACCAAAGCATCAGTCCTCTCAAGGGTGCACCTGAGCAGCTGACCCCCCACACTTGCTAGCATGGCCGTCAGCGCACTCAGCCGCACGGGTGTTGGCTGGAGACATCCTTGCCGCATGACTCTGAAGGACCACATCTGCCACGGCAGTTGGCTTCTTCCAGAGCCCAGCGAACAGGGGGTGCAGGACGGAAGTCACAGTCTTTGTGTCCTAGCACCCGAGGAGATGAGTTCCAGGGGTAGGATCATCACAGTCACCTGCCACATAGCTTCTCAGTAGTTTTGAGCTTCAAGAAATCCACATTTAACATGTTTCACAGAATTATAATTTCCCTGTTCAGATGAAATTCCCTTTCCTTCATTTGCTGTTGGTCTCATGATCTTGAATTAATCATTTATGTAGACTGAGACTCCACAAGGGGTGCCAGCCAGGACAGTGGTAAAGGATGGTTCATGTGCAGTTTTATTTATAGAGCCTTTTCTAGTTACTTAGATGAGGAGCCTTGTTAAAACAGGTACTGTCACAAAGTGTACAATTGGGAGTTTTTTTATGTGCTTTTCATCATACAAATTTTAATGTTTCTCTTGCTCAGTATTGGTAAAGGTTTCCAAGGCGTCATGAAGAGGTGGGGATTTAAAGGCCAGCCTGCTTCCCATGGTCAGACAAAAACCCACAGGAGACCTGGCGCTATTTCAACTGGGGTAAGTACAACTTGGTGATGTTCCTCTCCGTACTGGATGTTCAGCTTCTGCACATAGATGCTTGAGTGTGTCCTTGGGCGCAATTTTTATCTGAGTCCTGGTGGCTTCTAGTACTCGTCACACTTTCAGGAGCCTGATCTTAAATCTAGCTGGCGCCCACATGCTTACCGCCAGCATTCGGGGCTTTCCTGCCTCCCCCCTCCCGCCCTCTCCAGCTCCCGTTCGCTATTCTCAAGACACTGGCAGGAGGTAAAGGGTTAGCGTCTCACCCTTTCCGTCTCACCCCACTGCTTACTTCACATTTGCTTTCTGTCTTGAGAAAGAGCTGGGAAGGTTGTCAAGGACAGTATTATGGTTCAAAGGAAACGGTGACCAGAGAATAAGAAGAACATGGAAGTGGAGGCTCTTGTATTGCTGGTCAGCCCTAGACTCTGAGGTAGAGCATAAACTGTCACGGGGTGTTTATTCTTTGGAATGCAGGAGTAAAGCAAGAACAATCTTTAAGGATTAACTTCTCTGAAATAAGAGAGAACTTATAGCTACTCCTGAGATACTAATTACTCCCCTGGCAGATTGTATTATCAGTCTGTTTAATTTTCTTATGTGTTGATAGGAACGTAGGTAAACAGGCACTCTCATGTGTTGCTGGTAGGAATACAAGATAGTGCGTCCTCAATGTTAGTATCTAACTCTGTTTATGTATATTTCCCCTGACAACACTCCTAGAAATTTACCCTAAAGGTATGTGTTCCAAAATGTAAAGATGCACTTGCACAAAATTAGTCTTTGCAATATAGTATTTGTGACAACATGCGTAAGTGTCCATACCTGACAGTTTGCATGGAGCAGCGATGGGGCGTGCAACAGAGTGAGAAAGTCAGTGTGTGATGAAAGCACACACACAAACTTATGCGTGAGTATGCGTAGCATTATTCATAATAGCCCTAAATGTTCACCAGTCAGTGAATGGATAATTAAAAGTGCGTATTCATACATATTACATGACAATAATATGGAGTGACGTGCTGATACATACTGTAGTGTGGGTAAACTTCAAAAACATGCCCTGTGAAAGAAGCGGCCATGATAGCTGCATATCATGTGATTCCATTTGCAAGAAATGTCCATCTGCACATCTAGAGGGTAAAATAGGTAAGTGGTGGTTACACCAGACTGGGGCTTAGAGGGGTTGTCCAGTAACAGGTATGGAGCTTGTCGTAAGTTGAGGAAATGATCTAAAATTGTAATACAGTAATTCAGTATATTGAAAACATTTACTCATACACTTTCAAAGGTGTGGCATATTAATTGCATCTCAGAAATCTCTTAAAAATATAAAGGTTATGAAATTATATAACTCACTGATTAGATTACAAATAATCAGATTAGGTCCTTTCATATTGAATCTATTCTTATGACTCGATTTATGAAAGGCACGGTTCTATATGTGTTTAAGTCCTTCCATTAAGGATTAGCTAGTAAATGCTAACACTTTTAATGAGCACATAAATGTAATTATAGAGGGCAAAGTTAATCCTTTTTTAGTAATGTTATGTTAAGCAGGGTATTTATCACAAAATGTATTTGTAGAATGAATAAGAATAATCCTTGGTTTATAATTCTCAGAACTGACTTTTAAGCTGTGCATGAAGATTATACATGGTGTGCTATTTCCTGCTGTGAGGTTCGCCTATTAATGTGAAAGTAGTGATGCAAAAAGTGTTTATATTCTAAGAATTCATGTTATGAGACGCTTTCCCATTTCAGATGTAATTCAGACTTGCTTCTTCAGATGTCTACATCTGAATATTATCCATTATGAAAGAAGCCAAAGGCAGAGAGACTGCATGAAGCTGTTTGATTTATGTGAATCAGACTACCATAGCAGGACAAGCTCAATATTCTGATAACTCTGTCCTTTAATCATTCTGGTGAAGGAAGGTAACATCAAACACCAGGGTGGGGAGTAGGTCTGTCCATCAGCAGTAGTGTAGGTAAACATTAAATCAGTTAATACAGATTAGTGAAAACATACCAGTCGCTGAGTTTTCCTTGGTGGTGTGTATGTATGTCCTTTATTTTTCTCAACCAGTGTTTGCTCAGTTGACAATACTCTTGTTACTGAGTTTTTCTCCTACATCATTTTCTTAGTTTTTCCAATTCAACTTAGAAAGGAGATCTACTAGAATAAATGTGTCAAAGCTAATTTTTAGTGGGACCTCGTAGAATGGAGGAAAACATTTTAATAATTCCGTCTTAGTTTGTATTTTGGCTTGATCAGTGCTGTGTGAAACAGAGTACTTTAAGTGCTGATTTTGGCTATCATTTTAGGATGTTGCCAGAGTCTGGCCCGGAACTAAAATGCCTGGACAAACGGGAAACATGGATAGGACCGCCTTTGGACTAAAAGTAAGTGCTAAAGTCGCTCTTTTTAGGACTAGTTAAACACTAGGGTGTTTAATCGACATGTTTTCATCTTTCAGACAAATTCAAAGAGTTTTCTGGCACTTAAGATATATCTGGTTTGTCATTTATATAAATGTGTTTTCTTTTTAACATAAGAATTTTTTCAATTTCAACATGTTGAAGTACTGATATGATTATTAATTTACAGGCTAAAGCCTCGCTTTTAGCAACATTGTTTTAATGGCAGTACATCCTCAAATTTTTAATTGATTGATTTCATGTCTTCCTTGCTTTAGGTGTGGAGAGTGAACACAAGACACAATATAATCTATGTAAATGGCTCTGTACCTGGACATAAAAATTGCTTAGTAAAGGTGTGTACAACTATTTTTTAATGTTCAGATACATGAATGTTTACCATAAATTTCTCCTTCGGCCCATAAACGTGACTTGAAAAATAAGAGCACACATGGAAAACAGCCATTTAAGTTTTTCTGCTTTGTAGTAGCACCTGAGTGAAAAAAATTGGGCAACATGACCTCTATAGTCCATGTCTGTAAAGGCAAGAACCTGCAAAAAGGGTTGTACCGGTAAGTAAAGGGTCTGTAGAAACAGAGAAAAGGTATTTGGATAGCTATTGCCCAAATAACATTTCTGTCCTTCCAAAAAAAAACTTTAGCTTTTTAAAAGTACTTTGACACAGGAAAAGAAATTAAATGAGTGTCAACCAAAACGGCACTTAAAAGTATAGGCATTTCAAGGAGATATTTTTATTGTTATAACTACTAGCATTGTTCTGACTACACCTTTGAGTGTCTTCATTTAAAGTGTACTGTATATTCATTTTCATGTTCAAAAATAAAGCCTGTTATACAGGATAGATTTGAAGAAAAATTCTTAATGCTCTCAAATTTATTCCCATCAACTAAAACAATTGCCTGGGTGTTAAGCCAACATACTTAAAAGAGGTCACTTTCAAATTTTGAGTCTTCCATTCTGAAAGAGATTTCTGATAGAGGTGCTTCCAGCTATTCCCAGAATTTTTTCCTTTTCAGTAATAACAAAAATAGGTTGAAACTTACAGCTCAGATTTTTCAGAATGAGTCTAGGTATTTTCATTTCTTAAAATAGGTTGTATTACTAGAATACAGTTTTTGTTTTAATGTTTCTATGTTAAATCCCCTTTCTTCCCTTTGACTATTCTGTTTTTAAAAAATTTGCAAAAATGCATTTGAGTTTCTACAAGTTTTTAGACAGTCTCCAGGCGGCCTAGTTGTATACACAGTGACAGTGGAAGACAACAGGTCGTCATTGTGCTTCTCATAATTTGTCTTCATACTGCATTGTCTCTACCTCCAGATTTATCACATATTAGGTTGTCACATATTTAACAAGAGAAAAAAGAAAAATTACTTTCCGTGATAAAATCTTACCGGCTAGATGAATCTTTAGATGTTAGATCCTCCTTTCTTCCCATTTTTTCTCTGGCCATGGTTCCACGCTGCCGCCAAACTGCCGTGACTTCGAGTGTCACCTCAGCACCAGCGAGGAATAGGTCAGCCATTTTGAAAATCTATAGCATGTGCAGTGATACGCTCATCTGGTTTAGACTTAGCATATAATCAGCAACATCTATTACTCTGATTTTCCTTCCCCAACTTCAATAAACATTTGCCTTCAGGAAATCAAGTCAGTGGATGACGGCTGGCTATCCCTGAAGACATTTAGAAGGTACACCAAAGACAGCTCCAAAATAGGAGTCCATGTGTTTTTAGAAACTGTAATATCAGAAGCACATCTAGTTCACATTTCAAAAAAAACTTATTTGGTAATTCATCTTGAGAAGTGACAAATAGCTACCTGCCTTTTGTAACCTTAAACAGGTATCTGTCCCAAGCACTATGGATTGGGACAAATTTGACATTGTCTTTCAAATGTCAGAAAGTTTGGTATATCTTTTGAAATCATTCACTTCACTGTTTCCCCTTCCCCATGGAGGCAGTTTCTCCTGGGGAGCCAGCCTGGTGCAGACCCACCCCGCACAGGAGCTTTTGCTTCTTCAAGATCCAGGGCCATCAGCACTGAGAGTCTTAGGGATGACTGACTTCTTTAAATGTACATGTTTTGTTCTTTGGCTTCACCAGGTGGATGAGCGCCTGAAGAATTGTTGTGTAGTGTGTGTTAATACTATTCGCGCGCATCCCTAGATCTTAATTTGTAACTTTCAGGTCTGCTGGGGGGGGGGGTGGTGTGTGTTTCCTACCCCACTCCTACCTTTCCTCACAGGTTTACCAGTAGACAGAAATGCTGAGAAATACTGATAAAAATTGATGTAGAGAGTTGGAGGAATCTTGGTGAAGACAGGGAAATAAAGCCAGGGGTCGGATTAAATGCACAAAGTACTTACCGGCGAGTCTCACCCGTGGCTCAGGACGGGCTGCAAACTTCCGGCCCTTCGCTCCAGAGCTATCCTGACGAGAGAGTTAGAGGTCAGTTTGTTTCAGAGCAATGAATTACAGTACTGGCGCGTTTAGAGCCAGAATATAATGCAGGCAGTGCTTTTGTCTGAAATTTTCTTCAGGTAGAATAGATCAATAGAAATGTAAAGGTAACAATTAGCTGTCTAGGTCATCTGTCTAAATTTCCCATTTATTAAATTAGCACAAAGTTTTCATTACTGTTGGTTTTCGGGTTTATTTCCTTGGGTTTTATTTTCAACTCTAAACTCTGAGACAGTTTAAATTGGTGAAATTTTTTCCAAGTTTAAGTTCAATCCAACATTAGTGAATAATTTTTTTCCAACAGTTTATTTTCTTCTGGGCAATTTACTGATAATTTCTTGGAACAATTTTAATGAGAGAGATTAAAATAGATAAGTTTTTCCATACTTAGCTGTTCCTAGCAGCTGTGTACTTCTTCCAACCAAATTATTCATTTCTTATTGCCAAAATGATTATGCCTTCTTTTACTCTGTATAATTACATGTATTTTTTCCTATTTCTCTCTGAATGAAGGCTGTTTAATGAGTCAGAAGCTTTAAAGACTCCAATGTTTTTAAAAGGCAACATTTTAAATCATATCAATATTTGTACTATTCCTTGTTTAATTTATGGATACAATTAGAATATTTCTAGAATATAAAGCATAAGCAGGAGTACTATAAAGACTTCAGGTTTATTATTTTTGCTAAATATTCTCTCCTTAATTTCTCAGTAAGGATGCTATTTATCAAATGTAAGCTAATTTCCTTAATAAAAATTGATAGTCTTAATTCTAAGAGCACATAACCAAAACTAACAAAAATACTAGGCAAAAAATTTTTAATCTCAGCTCAAAATATCTGATAAAAAGTGGATTCTGATACCTGTTAGGTATATATTGCTTGTCAGCACTTTCATCTGGAAAAAAGAAAACATGCATATAATTGATATTGAATATAATTTATCCAACTTAGAAATAAAATCTTCCCCAAAAGAATAAAATTACTAATTTATCTCATAATTTCTATCATTGAATTAAATATCTTGGAATGAAAAGAATAGATTGAGTTCCTTATTATATCATTTGTTATTCACTCTAGAATGTTAGATATTCTTTGATATTGAATAATATCTATTATGGGCTATCTTTAAATAACATAATTGCTAACACTAATAAAATTTTTGATTTTTTCCCACTAGATCAAAGATTCTAAACTGCCTACACATAAGGATTTCTGTAAAAATCTACCATTCCCTACATATTTTCCTGATGGGGATGAAGAGGAATTACCGGAAGATTTATATGATGAAAATGTGTGTCAACCCAGTGCGCCTTCTATTACATTTTCCTGACATTCTGTGAGCTTTGATGAACCAGATCAGTAATATAACCAGGAATTATATTTTTCTTACTCACAATGTGAGTAAGTATCAACTTGTCATCTTTGTCAAGGGTGTAAATGTATCATCCACACCTTAATTGAATTGTAACAAACCAGTTAAGTAAATTGGATTTGCCAAATGTAAATCGACTGGCAGTTTGCATACTAGCAAAATCTTTGTAATTTGTGTTTGTTTTTTTACTAGCTGTTTCCCAAGTTATCTTCAGATGTTTATAAATTTAACTTTTGTTAAAGATTTGTCCTGTCTGTGAATGGGGTGGTTGTGGAAAACTGGCAAACCATAATAGGGACTGGTGCAACCTATCTCAACAAAAGAAACCATTTCCTATAAATCATTCTCTGTTTTAGTGCCATAAAGAGAACAGAAATAAGATTTTTAAACTAATATGTATGTTATAGTTAAAGGCCTGACAGGGAATTTACTGCTGATTACTTATGACAAAGTAACAAGGACAAACAGGCTTCCTTTACTGCATTTCCTCAGACCCAAGGGACTAATATTAGCTATACAGTATTGGGTCTGCAGGTGGCTTCCTGATAGCTGATGGATTTGATAAAAAAGGTGCAAGAGTATTTTACCTCCGACGGTGTAGGCTCACATTCCTCCACGAGTGGCTGTGGCGGGAAGGCTGCTGTGCTCTCTGTTGCTGCGAGCTTCCTGGGGGCCAGATCTGTCACATACTTCTCTTTAATCACGAGTTGCTCAAAAGGAATCCTTTTAAACAGGAGTCTGTTTTGTCACCACACCATTTTTGATTAAAAACAACTTCTCAAACTGAAAATCCCTGACCTTTTTTAAAGATATCTTAAGCAAAAATTTTACTCACCCTTCTTGTAAGAGCAAACCAGGATCTACTTTACTTCTGTTGAACAGTATTTTGGGAACGCCTTGACACAGAAGTAAGGCAGTATTAGAATAAATTTCATTATTTGTAAAAAGCAAGCATGCCCTGCCTGGGAGCTCAAGGACAAGTATGAGAACCAGTGACTCTTCAAGGAAATGACTGAAAACCAGGTTAATACACAAACTAGGCACAAGACTGGGAAGTTTTATGGGGGGAAGTGGCTAGCATTCACAAAGGCAGTGTTGTAAAGAGTATTACCTGGGGAAAAGCCCAACAAGAAAGCTCAGGTCTCACATTGGTGAGAGAAACCTCACCGAGGAACTGCTGGAAAGGACGATCACGGTTATGAAGGGAAAGATTCAGCATGACAAGGAATTCAGCTCAACCCTGCTTTTAACATCTCAGTCAGGCTTAGAATGTAACTTGAAAGCTGATTCAAGACTGACGTGAAAATACACATTCGGGAACAACCAGAACCTAAGAGCCCCCCTTCTCGCAGTAGGGTCCGTTGAGCTTCGGGATTCGGACTTCTGACGTGCAGTGGGGAATACTGTGCACCTTCATTCCCCATTCGCTGCATTTAAACAAAAGATTTCAGGGATGCATGACGTTTGCTGATAAAGCAATGGGAAGCAGCTGTTACCTTGCAAAACAAAGGAATAACTGTTGCTGGGAGAATATAAACTTATAATCAGAAGAAAGAATACGGTGCCGGGACGTCTTGTGTGCGCCCGGCAGAGCGGCCCAGCTTGCGGCTCCTTCGTGGCCAGCTCTTCCTGGGCTGACGCTGGCCCTTGTGTGTGCGTGACTAAATGTGCGCGTCCCCGCCTGATCTGCCTCAAGGGCGCGGCTGTGGAAGTTCCCCCATCTTGTGGACCTGTGCAGGAGGACGGCTGTGTTCAGCTTGGCTTGGTTATATAAACAGCCTCAGCGTGGAGGGCGTCAGCAAGGGGGGCGTGTTGCTGGTCCCTGTTTCTGCTGAACTGCTGACCCCACATGCGACGCAGATGCGCTCAACAGCTGCGAGGCCCCCCTGGGCCAGCATTCCCAGGCGCCCTGCAACCCGTGGCCCCGAAGGCCCGCCTGGTCTCACATGGGAATAAGTATTTTCTAGGCTGAGTTAACTCATGATGGGTAAACTTTCCACTGCACTCCAGGAACTTTCCATAAAGTTGAATAGTGTAAGAGCCGACATTTTCCCTGCAGTTTCCAGTTTTAATGCAGTGTGTGCCGTCAGGCCTCATCTGCCAGCTTCCTGTCTTCGCTCCTGCCAGACCAAGTGGGTCCTCGGTGCCAGAAATGTCAGCGGCCTCTCAAAGCATGCCCTACGAGACAAATAATGACTGCCGCCCAGACTCTGCCCCCAGCGACTGCCGGGGCGCCCTTGAAATGAGAGGACCCCATTAAAGTGTCATCGTCCTCTCCAGAAAACAGCCAGGGGCCGGGGAGGCAGGGCTGCCAGCCTCCATTTCATCGTTGGCTTTTCTGCTTTTAACCGTTGTTCCCAAAGAATTTACAGCAGCCCACGTCGCGCGTTGTTTTTCATTCTCTTTAAATTAACGAGGTGGCCGCTCAAGTTAGACGAGCCAAATTAATCTCAATGAATGCAATTCCAAGCGCTATAAAAGCAAATAAATGATTCTAACTCAGCCGGCCAGAGACTCTTCTTGGCCTGGGAGGAGCGTAATTGTTCCTTCTCGGCCCTTGACTAGAAAAGAGAAAGTGACCGCTGTGATCTTTCTCCCCTCGAGCAGACTGCGGGCGGCCTCCAAGAGGCACCAGGGCCTCCGGAGAGTTTGTTGTCTTTAACAAGAAGGGATGAGATAACCATCAAGTTTTAACTGCATCAGATTGGCTGTGTTTGAGGCCCTAAGTGCTCCGCCACAAGCCGCCTCACAGAGACGCGCTGTTCACAGGGCTGTCAGGAGGAGCGAAATCAATGGCTTTCGTGAGCGCCCCCAGAAAGCGCCTTCGCTAAGTCGCTGTGTTCGAATGAGGAGGCCGGGCTGGCAGGAGAACTGCTGGCCGCCCGCCTGTCTTCCTCCTGCCGACGGCAGAAACCTCGCGTGGGGTCTTCACCTCACCCCCGAGCCCTGGTGCTCCCGAGGAGGGTGCGGTGCCCCCCTTCAACAGAGCCCTGCCAGCTGCGCTCAGCTGCTGCTGTGCTGGGAGGGGACGCCACCCCAGAGGAAGTGAGGGTTCGGAGAGGACTCGGGCAGCGAACAGACCCGAGGGAGGGCCGCGGGGGAGGGAAGCCGTGATCTATACTGAGCTCTCCCCTCTCCCTGCCCGTGAAGTCGGGACAGGCAGCAGCTCCCCACCCCGCGTGCTTCTCTAGCCAGTGACCCACGGACTGGCCTCCGCCACAGCTGAGGGGTGTGACCTGACGTCCCCCCGCGGAGAGGCCCAGGCGCCCTGGCTGCACCCCGGCTGGGGAAGCTTGCATGAAAGCGGGGCTCCTGGCTTGCTGCCTCCCTCCGCATACACCTGGGCTTCACGAGCATCCTTGAAGGGCACCCCACCCTGGCGTCTGACCCCTCGATCAGGAGCCACCAGACAGCCGCGGACGCCGAGGTGCGGCCTTAGGTTGCCTTGGAAAGAGCCATCTGGATTCAAAGCCGCGCATGAAACAAGCTGTCAGTCTTCGCTTTGAAGTCTGCAAAGTTTGTTACTGTCAGTGTTCACTGTTGTGTTTGTAGATTTCTAAAAAATAGATGTTTTTGAGAAGTTTTCATCTGCCATGATGTGAAAACACAGGAGTGTGAGTCCACGCCCGTGGTAGCTGCGAGCGCCCGAGCAGGGAGGGCCGTGACCTGCAGGGGTGTTGCGGGCCCGGGCAGAGGAGCTGGAGTTGGGCAATCGGCATGTTCAGTGCAGAGGGTAAGGCTGGTTCAGGGGAGGGTCATCAGTGGGTATTAAGCGAGGAGGGGGAGCAGATCTTGACGGGGAGCAGAATATTTGCACGGTCTTAAGGCGTCACCCCATAGACGGCTGACTCTTGGAAGGGCAAACGCCATACGAGACCCAAAGAGACCGAGCATGGGAGCCAGGCGCAGGCACTGACGCGGCAGGACAACCAGATGCTCTGCCCGGCCCGACCCCGTGCCAGAGGGGACGGGCCACAAAGGGCGTCCGGGTAAACTGGAGCGTGAGCGATCGGAGTATGGCGTGTTGTCACTGAAACTGATGACCCCACTGTGGGTACGCAAGAGAGGTTCGTCCTTCTAGGAATTGCACACCGAAGCACAGAAATAGCCATTGGAGGATGTAACTTACTCTCAGGTATTCTGGAGAGATTCTGTGAAAGGACAGATGAAGGATAGACGATAGCTAGACAGACAGACAGACAGTGCAAATGGGGCCAAAGCGTTGACAATAGGCTACTCTGGGTACAAGTCACGTGGATTCTCTTTGTACTAATACAATCTCCCTGTAACTGAAAATATTTTCCAGCTTAAAAAACTTTTATTTAAGAATACACAGTTATTGGCCTCCATGGTGGCACAAGGGGTTAAGTCTCAGCACTATGAAGCTGCTGGCAGCTACTGTGGCATGGCAGATACTGCTGGCAGATACTGTGGCATCCCCAGCCAGGGAGCTACCCACATGGCACAGCAGACCTCTCCCGTCTCCCTGCTGCTCCCCTCAGCAGTGTATTTCAGTGGATCTGCCTGTTCTGCTCCCCACTCTGTCTCTCACCCCCTACACACACTCTGGCCTGTACCCCAGCTCTGTATGCATAAATAAAATAAATTCTAAAAAAATACAGTTATTAACATGCAGTGTAAGAGTCGGCACAGCTGATCCATGACGCCAGGTCGGAACAGAAACCTGCAGGCACCTCAGCAGGGAGGGGAGGGCCTCCGGGGCAGGAGCTGGCAGGAGCCTCTGAGCTGTCAGATGTTTTCCATTTCCATGTAAAACCGTACGGAGTTGTTCGACTGAAATGTGTGCTTACCCCAGTATACCTCAAGTATGTATTAAATTTGCAAATAATCTCATTAGTTGTAAACTGAGAGCAACAGCGTGCTCGGCAGGGCAGGGGCGGGAACGGGTGGGACAGTGAGGGCCACAGTCGCCCAAAAGGCCTGGGGCAGGCGCCTCGGAACCCCCCGCAGGTGGAGCCACCAGACAGTGCTGGAGGCACAGCACGGGGCCCCGCGGCCGGCCCGGCTTGCTCGGGGAGCAGAAGGAGGCCTGGGGAGTGGGGCCGGCGGGTGCAGTCCCCCTACGGCGCCCCCCATCCTCCCCCATACCCCCCCCACCCCCACCCCCCGTCTCCGGAACAACTAAGGCTCTACTTGCCAAAACAGGAGTTCGGCCTCCACGCGTCCCCTGAGCCCGGGGCATGTGAAATGTGCGTGGTCTGAACTGAGCCATGACGTGAGAGCAAAACAGAGCCAGGAGTGTAAGGCTTGGTGCCCCCCCCGCCCTCCCCCCCAAAAAAGGACTTGATTAATATATTTCACATCACATGTTGCAAACAGGCAAGTTCATGGACCCCAACTTCAGACGAGGCCGCTCTGACCACAGGGAGCAAGACGAGAGCAAGACCACCCTGACGCGCGTCAGACACACGCACAACAAGACCAGCCGGGCCGGCCGGCGCGTGGCCTCCGACCCCCCCTCCGAGGGACTGTGTCTCCGCCATTTGCGCTCACCCTTGGGCCTTGTCACCACCGAGGGGTAGAAACTGTTACACTAGTTCCATCTCATTGTCTAATAAAGTCTATTACGAGCTACATAAAGCACAGTTTATACTTTAGTTTCAGGTGCAGAGATACATCATTCAAGGCCTCCGGAGCAGACTTCGGCAGCCACGCCCTAGTCTCACCAGGCAGAGGAGAGCTGCTCCCGCTCGCGGACAGCGCCCAGCCCGGAGCAGAGCCACCCTTGGGATTTCGTCCCCATCCCTGACGCCAGTTGAGATCCTCCACCGGCCACTGCGAGCATCTTCTTTCTGACCTCAAGGCCGCTCCCAGCTCGGCGTTCCAGCCGCTACCTCAACTTTGCTCCACTGCACTGAATTCCTGCTGGTCTTTGGCGGGGGACACTGATGACGCCAGTTAACAGAGAAGAACGTGGGGGCGCAGAGACGCTGAGAGGCTCAGTCAAGTGTGACCGTCAGTGACCACGCCTCGGACTCGCTGGAGTCACCACCCCGGTGCCCACACACCTTCCGGCTCCCCACAGTGACAGGCAGGCAAGGATAAGGGCGCCTGGTGACATCGGCAGCAGCACGCCCCAGGCGTTCACACACCAAGCCACCCTGTCACAGATGCTGCCTGAATAGCTCAGGTGGAGGCTGCAAGTCTGCGTTCCTGGTAACGGTCCCGAGCCTCCTGGATACTCCCCAGAGAGCACATGGAGAACCCAGGCCAGGGTCTCCCTGGTGGCATAGGGGTTAAGTCTCAGCACTGTCACCACTACGGCCTGAGTTCAGTCCCCGGCCAGGGAGCTACCCACATGGCACGGCAGACCTCTCCTGTCTCACCCGCTGCTCCCCTCAGCTGTGTGTTTCAGTCAGTCTGCCTGTTCTGTTCCCCGTCTGTCTCTGGTGAATCCTCTCAACCCCCACAGCTCTGGCCTACACCCCAGTTCTTTTACACAAAAATAAAATATACAGAGTCTCAAGTCCTTACAGCTCCAAAGCAGACTTTCCAGAAATGTGCTCTGTTTCTATATTTATTAAAGGAAAAAGTGATTTATTGAGCACCTATTATTCACAAGCACCAG